CTTTGAATTCGGTCGCAACGTGTTCATCTGTACAATATTTGAGATTCGGGGGATTTGAATCATTTTTCTTCTTTACGCCTGGAACGTGCTCATGGGATGAAACCGTGCGAACAGCCCAAGGAGGTGTAGATTTTCTGGTGATGACTGGTGGTTTTGGTTTCCACCCGAGGTAACGCAGGGTGCGAAGAGAAATGCCAAATCGTGATAGGGGTCGTCGGGTGATTCTTCGAAGCAAAGAGAGGCCCGCAGTAGTTTCTTCAAGGCGGAGCATCTGTTGTAGGAGGTGCTGGGAAGCCATTAGAGGCAGTGACAGTGTTCGGGCTTCTTCGTAAACTTTGAGGTTGCTGGTTTCTCTCGGAACGCCAAGGGCTGTGCGAAGTCCTTGTCGATGAATGCGTTCCAGTTTGAGAGCTGGCGTGGGTAGGATGTTCATATAAGGCAAGGCATATAAAAGGCGGCTCACTACTAATGCTGAGTGAAGCGAGAGCATTGAGCGAGGGGAATTGCCCCAGTTTGCGTTACCAACTCGGCGGACGGCATTTCTACCCTATTGGAAAAACCAGCATGAAAATCAAACTGGTCAAGCTGGTAATTAAGGTGGTCAAGCTGGTAATCAAGGTGGTCAAACTGGTCAATGTGGTAATTAAACTGGTTTAGCTGGCAATCAAGCTGGTTTAAGCTGGGCAAGCTGGAATTTAAGCTGGTCAGTCTGGTCTAAGTAAAAACCAGCATGGTCTCACTCGAATCTGGTTTTAGATTCAATCTGGTGTAGCTGGGAGCCAGTCTGGTCTTAACTGGTCAAACTGGTTTTCCATGGAGCCAATGTGGTCAAGCTGGGAGACGAGCTGGTCATGCTGGGAGACAAGCTGGTGAATCTGGTCGAAATAATAATCGTGGTGGTCAAGCTGGTCATGCTGGGAGCGCGCACGCCAAGGTCGGCTAGAGATAGCCGAACTGGCATTGCTGGGAGCGCGCGCGACAAGGTCGGCTGCTGGAACGAGGCCACGTCCTGTTCTTTGTCCTCTCGTTTTTGGTAGACCACCGGGCGCGTCAGGCGCGCTGCAAGCTACCTTTGTGTGCGAGAAAAGAGAGAGAGAGAGAGAGAGTGGTAGAAACGGAGAATCGAAGACGCGTTTGGATAGCTTGGGCAGAGGGCAGATCGAAGGGACGGCTGTGTGCGCGTTGTTTGGAGACTAGTTGAACGACGGTGCAAGCGAAGCGGGTTTTGAGAAGACAGCGAGCGGCAGTCCGTTCAGTGCGGGAAGATGTCAGACGTCCCGACTGCGGCGTCGCTTCGTGTCTTCGAACGTGTGTGTGCCCAAGAATGACGGCGGTGCCGAGGAGTATCGCCAATGCCATCCAAGCCACACGGATTTCCTCGCCTCTGCCGACCACGCAAGTTGCCGCTTCGCCCCCATCGCTGGCGGGACCCAGGTTCGCTTCTCTCGTCCGTGTAGTATTTTCGTCTGCTATTGCCTGTTTTTGGCCTGTGTCTAGTATTTTTTTCGTGTTGAGAGATAAGCAATCTGGTTTTATTAACATTGTAGACAATTTGCACCGAGAATCTGTGCGTCGGTTAGTACTGTGTCAGCGCCGAGGATGTGTAGCATTTGAGTTCATGTGAGGCTGCCGCAAGTACGAAAATAATAAATTGGATGCCGAGTTGGCTTTTCTGACGAGCTTGGCTTTTTTATTCTGTGTATTAATTTAAACAGGTTAAACTGGTTGGGAAGTTCACCAGCATGACCAGTTTAACAGCATGACCAGCATGCCAAACTGGGCATGCTGGGGCAATAACCCAGCTTGAAGCTGGGACCAGATCAACCATCATGACCAGTATGACCAGATCAACCAGCATGACCAGCATGCCAAGCTGGGCATGCTGGGGCAATAACCCAGCTTGAAGCTGGGACCAGCTTAAGCTGGTTTTTTCAATAGGGTAGCCGAGATTGTAGAGCTTGTCATCGCCTTCACTTGGTTTGTCCATTTCAGCCTTTGATTTAAGCTGATTCCTAGAAATCTATGGTTTGCGACTTGACGTAGAGGAGAACCGCCAAGGCACAGGTCAAGTTTGGTGGATCGTTAATTTTTCCCCGGAAAAATCATGAAAACAGTCTTTTCTGCGGAAATGCGCAGGCCACAGTCTTTAAGGTATGTCTCAACAGATGTTATTGCCGACTGGACAATTGCTTTCAGGTTGCAGTGCTTGTGACCTGTCGTCCAAATACATATATCATCCGCATACACGGACATGTTGACCCTTGGTGTGGTAAAAGGAACCGCGCTTGGGAGACCGGAGAGGACAACATTAAACAGAAGAGGTGAAAGCACGCAACCCTGTGGTAAACCGCATGGGGAAGGACGGTTGGCACTGAGCGTTTTATCGAGTTTTACTCGGAAAGTTCGCTCCGTTAGAAAGCATTTAAGAAAGCGTTGCACAACCCCAGTGATGCCTAAGGATGTGAGTTTTCTTAGCACAACTGATGGGGTCACACTGTCAAAAGCCTTTTCGATATCGAAGAAAACCGCCAACGTTGATCTTTCTTCATTCCAATTGTGTTCGACTGCGCTGAGCAGGTCTAATAAATTGTCTGCCGTTGAAAGCCGAGTTCTGAAGCCTGTCATAACATCGGGCAGTAGTAGTTTAGCTTCAAGCCACCAAGAAAGTCGAGCGTGTACCATGCGTTCCATTAGCTTTGCCACACATGAAGTAAGCGAAACGGGTCTATAAGATGAAGGTTCGGTTCTCGGCTTTCCGTGTTTGAGGATGGGCACAACCCAGGCTGAACGCCACTCACCAGGTACGTTTCTCGTCGACCAGATAACGTTATACTCGGACAGAAGCAGTTGCAGACCTTCATCTGGCAAGTTGCAGAGCATTTGGTGGGTAATGCGGTCTGGTCCGGAGGCAGTGCGCTTTTTGGTGGAACGGAGCGACGCCTGGAGTTCATCAAGGGTGAATGGTACATCAAGAGGGGACGAAGTCGAAACTATGACGCACGGTTCTTGCGATTGGCTCCGGACCGAGGCGTAATAGTTAGCGAATTCGTCCGCTATAACCTGGAGGTCTTTTCCTCGTTGGAGTGCGAGAGAGGCCTGGGGCGACAGTTTGTTTCTTGCTCCCATAAAGCAATCGAGAATATGCCAAATCCGGGAAGCTGGTGTGTGGGCATTTGATTTAGCACACACATCGTGCCATTGCTGTTTGCGTAGCGTCTTCGCATAGCGCCTAGTTGCGGCGTTTAATTTGTTGAAATGCGATTTTAGTAGCGGATTTCCAGAACGCTGCAGCTTTCGTTGGGCCTGTCTCCTGCGTGCGCAAAGATTCAGAAAAATCAGGTCCGGTTTGGGGTATTGTACTGGAAGGCGTATTTGCACTGTTGATGCTTTTGCAGCGTCTACAATAGCCGCGCATACGTCTTCCTTTACCAATAAAAGGTGACTGCGGAAAGTATCCCAAATGATCATATCAATTGTGCGCTGCTTGGACGGTTGGTAGCCTTTTAAATCCAGGAAAATAGGAAAATGATCGCTTCCCATTGTATCGGCTAATACTTGCCACGTGATTTCGAGGTCTGTACAAGGGGCGGTTATATCTATGGCGCTATAGGTGCAAGGAGGGCGGTAGAATGTAGGACGGCCATCATTTGCCACGACGAGATCGTGCCTCTCTAGAGCTGTAGCCAGAGCTAGGCCCCGTGCGTCTCGTTTAGCGCAGCCCCACAATTCGTGGTGGGCATTCCAGTCCCCACATAAAAGCAAGGAGCTTGGGCACCGTTTCTTAAGCTCCGCCACTACACGGGCAACAGGAAGGCCGCATTTTCCCGGGCGTGCGTATACGGACCCCACACATAAAGGCTTACCAAATACGCTGACTTGCACTGCGACGATTTCTAGATGGTCACTACACAAATCAGTGACATCGATAGAGTGTTGAGGGAGAGACTTTTTGATGAATAGTGCAGCACTCCCATTTGTAAATCCGCTCATGGTGGGGTTTGAGTATCTCACGTAGCCGGAGATGCTCTGATCATTAGGGAGGCCAGCTTCACATAATGCAAGAATAGGTATGGGTACAGTCAATAAGTAAAGCAGCAGTTCTGCAAGACGGTTTTGGAGACCTGCACAGTTCCATTGCATGACTAGCGGAATGTGTCTGAGCTTTGGCGACGATCTGTGAGGTTGTACGTATCTTGCAGAGTTTTTCATCCAAGAAACGCAGCCACAAGGGGCATGGCTAGATCGATGATTTTCAATACTGACGAGGCAAGTGGGTTGTTGATGCCCGCCACCAAGCTGCGAAGAGCTTGCAGGAGGGGCATGACGAGGCTTTGCCAGCTTGAGAAAGAGTGAGGTGGAAGTGCAGTTGCTGGAGGAATTCTCTGCTTCTTCTGACTAGAAGATCTTTCTGATGACGCCTCACGGTAAGGGGCTTGTCTGGCGACTGTTTCTCTTTGATTTCTCAAAGAAAGTGGTTGAACATTCCCTGCCTCCGCAACAGCGGGATTACCTGGAATCGTGGGGATACTCGGCGTGCCGTCTTTTTTCTCAGGGACAGCATTCGCTTCCAGGACGCTTGGCCAGGTTGAGTGGTGTTGCAAAGCTAGCGGCAACTGTTGTGGCCTCAGCTGGGAGTCTTCCTTTGTTTTGTTAAGCGTAGCGACAGCTGTTTTTGCGGTAGCGTGGTTCACTCCATTTTGCTGTCGGTAGTCGTTGATCTTTCTCATGAGTTTGATTTTCGGGCAATGTGGCGATGCCGCGTGATGTTTTCCTCAGCAATTCACACATTTGGATGGGGCGTTTGGCGGGCATTCCTCGGTGTCATGGGCGTTGGAGCAGCGAAGGCATATCTTTTGACGCGCACACGTTGGGGTTAGATGGCCAAGTTTCCCGCACGAGTGGCATTGCACTGGACATGGTGAGTATGCGGTGACTGGACGCCGGACGCAGCCCACAGCGACATGACTTGGCAGCTCACTTCCGAGAAAAGTGAGGCGTACTGTTTGGGAATCACCCAAGCGCCTCAGTTGAGCAAGCTTAATTGTACTCTTAAGCTGTGCCTTGAGCTCTTCCTCAGTGATGTCCTTCGCTACGTCCTTCACGACACCCACAGCATGAGTTTTGGACCTTGGTTCATAAGCGTACATCGGTACACCTAGCAGAGTTTCACGCTTCAACAGCTGCGCTGTAGTTTGTAAGTTCCGGGTGTCAATAGCAATGACGTTTAGTGCCTTATTTGGCCTGATTTGCAGGATACTGGACGGAGCGATGTTTTCTAACTCCGCGGTCAGGCGAATGCTATTAAAGCTTGTGACTTGCTTTGTGGGGTCTTTCGGAGTGAAGACCACTACATTGCCCAGAGCCGAAGGGAACGTGGTGGTGTGTCCCATTATCTTAGGCGCAAGGTTGAGCGCTCTTTTCCTCCGTTTGCTAGAGTGCACGGTTTGGAAGTCCCGCATATCGAACGTGATCTCCGAGGCGTCCGAGGTAGACTCTGCGTAGTAGTGCGATGAGAGCGGTAGTGCGTTCGTTGGGTCCATCACTTCGGTGAGATCCTCATCACGCTCTATCCTGTTGACGTCGGCCTGAATTTCTTCTGGGGGGAACTTTAGAGCGGGCAAAGAGGCTGCCTCCTCGGCATCCGCCAGGGAAGCATTGGTCAAGGTGGGGTTGGTCGCATTTAACGTTTTTTGTTCTTGGGATGTCATCACCGCTGGATACTTGGTTCTCCCGTGCCGGGAGAACCGATGTCCTCAGTTGCAACTTGCAGATGCAATTGAGTGAAAAATAAGAGTGTCCTGGATAAAATAATACAAAATATTGCTGACCTGCGAAAAAGTACTGCTCGCAATCCGAACACTTCGTCGTCCTCGTCAGAAAAGGTAGATCACCAAGCAACGGATAAGAGAAGAGTCATTTAACGGGCGCCCGCTGCGGCGAGACGCCGAAACGCACTAGATTTTTTTTCCTCCTGTTGACGAGGGTAAATAAAACGCTCACCCCGTCCCCGTTCCTCCGTTTCGGTTTCGTCTGTTTTGTATGCGCTCAAAATTGTGCGGCAAACTGCTGGGGCTGATTGATTACAGATTGCAGCTATTGATACACTGGAATTGCGTCGAAAGGTCAGTATGTAAGATGACGACGACGACGTTGAGAGGATGACACACCGGGCAACGCCGGTGCCTCAATCTGAGCCCTGAGTCTCGGATCCTCGGAGGCGGCAGTTTCTACCACGACCACGGTGGAAGAAATTCATTTAGGTGGTGACTCTGGCCGCTCTTCTCGTGGGGAGCGAGCGACCAGATCGTGTTCGGAACTAGCCTCGAACAAGGAGTATACTCGGTTTCACCTTATGATGTACCGCAGGAAAGGCTACAAGCGCGAGCTCCTTTCCTCTCCCTAGGGAAGAATTCAAGAGAAAAGAATCGGTGATCCTCCGCCGCATACGCACAGGAGGAGCAGTCACACCCAGGTTCAGATACCAAATGGACCTGGCAAGACTTAAGAAACAACAACCCTACGCTGTCCCTCCCGACCCCAGATGCCAGCGGTGTCAAGCCGAGGAATCCATTCCCAGACTTAAACACATACTCTGGGAATGTGTGGCCCTCTCCACCCTCGGAACACTCATCTTCAGTAAGATGGCGAATGACGAAAGACCTTCAAAACTGCAGGACTGGACGCACCCAGCGGGCGACACCTCACGCAAGACCAGGATCCTCAGATCTCTCTTAGAGTATATTTCTGAGGGAGACCAGGGAAACTCCATCTAACACCTTTAACCGAGGAGACGATGCCAAGCCTTGAGGCCACCGCGTCATGAAAACTTCGAGTCTCCAGAGATATATATTTTTCTCTTTAAATAAACGTATTCACCACCACCACCTTGCTCTGGGGCACATCCCGGCGGCACAAGCTCTCGTGACTTAAGAGCAGCTGCCAACGCTATGAGCTCGCGCTTCTAGCCTTCGCTGCGGTATAACATAGGGTGAAACGAAGTGCAGTGTTCCGTGCCGCCGCGGAGGGCGCTGAGGTGTGAGCACCGTCAGAGCCGTTTATACTGAGCACCGTTAAAGCTCCGTGGGTATGAGGTCTCTCCTCTGCGGCCACGGTGTCAGGGGCGTAGCTTGCTCGCCTTTTTCGCAGTGTGGTGGTGGTGTGCGGTCAGTGGCTGGCCTCATGTTTTGCTTTGGTGCTGTGTCAATCACCGGTGCCACCATCGTGCACGAAGATGAGCATTAACCCGAAGAAGTTATGCTATAAGGATGGGAAAGACGTACTTCGTTCCCAACTGCAAGTCGGGGTACCGGAACTGCGGAGAGCGAGCGTCCTTGTTGAAAGCTCCATCGAATGACGCTCGCCTGGAGCAGTGGCGTCGTGCAAACCCGAGGACCGATCGCACGTATACCTAGTCTCCTCATCTCGTTGGGAAGTGAAGACCGAGCTTGGCAGTCTAATTTCCGTCGAAGACTGGGAATGCGAAGATGTCTGGACAGAAAAGGCTCATAAAACCAAGGCTTTGGACTGCATGCTATATTATATAACTGGGTTTTTGAGCGTGAAAATAAAAAAAAAAGCTACACGCTGCCCTGCATGCCGATCCGCTTTCAGCATCGACAAGGACACTTCTACTGAAGCAGCACTGACAAACGTGAATAAAAGAGGAGGCCTTACACACCCCAACAAGAACCTTTTCCAGCTATTGAAGAAAGCGGAACAGTTCTTTGTGTAAAATAAAAGCCACAAGACTGCCTACTGGAACACAATCGACAGTGTTCTTGACACATGCACAATAACGTTTCCATGCGCTGAACACAAAGAAGAAACAATTGCCCGGTTGCTCCACTACTACTTCAGCATGCGAATGCGACAACACTGTAAGCATATTACGATAAGTAGGAACAAACAAGCTCAAGAGATAAAGAAATCAGCAAAGCAGCGCTCGCCTTAGTTTAAGGGTATGGGCGAGAAACACAGGATGTAGGAGGTGGCGTTCTTTAGTAGTTTGCAGTGAATTCAGATTTTATGTACATTTTAAAGCCAAAATATTTGTCAGGTATTTTTTTACCTTTGAGACGGGGTGACACCATATTGTGCGAGTATAGATGAAAAGTGATTTATGTCTTATAACCACTACTATTGTTTGACTTTCAGTCACTCTGTCATCATATCAGTCAGTATGTCATCATCCTATGTCATCATAAATAGGAATTTTTTCTGCTCACAAGGCTTGTATGCTCCACAGTACGAGTTAACATTGTATGTATAAACCATTTTTTAATGTTAATACCTTTATGCGCATGTAAAGAATTATTTAGGCCCCACTATGTAACATTATTACAATTTTTTTTTCAATAAGGCAGGAGCAGGGTGCAAAAATATCACCCGATCTCATATAAAGGCACGCAATGTGTAAACAATTCATAGAACTGTCACCAAACATGTTTGTTGACGAAACATTCGAGCATGACCCAGGTGTTTACTCTAAATTATTGAAGACCCAGTAGATTATGCCAGGAAGTTTTATATTTATACGAGTATTTTTGTCACGTTGAGTCATCATCAAAATGTTCTCGTTTGGAAAGAAAGAAAAAAAAAAAAAACAGGAACCGCACGGGGGAAAGACAATCACTGCCAGTGCGCCAACATAAATCCATCATTTCACTACACAGTACACCGGGACCGAGTAAAGAATGCATAATTTTGTTCAGAAGCCCCCCTATGCGGAGGGCAAGTTAGTCTGCTATTTGCGCAGGGGTAGCGGTGACGTCAGAACGCCGAGCCCTGATTGACTGATCGCGACCCCCTATCTGAGCGTCGTCTGCTCCTTTGCAACGTCGTCTGCTCGCAACGTCGTCTGCGTCTGTCTCACCTTTCCTGCGACTTTCGGAAGTGCAGAGGCCAGATTAACAAAACAATCTTAGGCCAAAAATATGCGTAAGACAGAACTTGAGAACAAATTCGTATTCACGAAACGAAAATTTCGTAAGTTTTGCGCAGGTTACAACGAAATCCTACGACAGCTCCGAAGCTGTCTTAATCAAATCAGCATGGCCGACAGCGTTGCGGTCGCGACGACCAACGGACATTTATTTTTCTACGTGCGCTTCTCACGCCCCGCGACTTCAAGCAGCAAGAAAAGAGTAAAAGGTACTTGAAACAGACCACGACGAACAAGCTGGATCCACAAACACCTGGGAAAAACTCCAATGGCCACGATTCCACCGACAACGACCAAGCGAGCACGGCAGATAGGCCCAGGCACTCCGACTCGGCGACCGTCTGCCCGCGACCGGCTGGCGTGCTGAATGGAATATGCCCGCGCGACCCTTGTGAATCCTTTTCGTCTTATACTTTGATCGCTGACCTCAATTTTAGATTAAGAGGTCAATCTCTTCCTCTTGTCATCTCCTTGTTTTCTGAGGCAACGGTGACTCTCGCCGGTAAAAAGCGGTGAATCTCCGACAGACACAGGAAAGGTAAAGCAGCCATCGCTTTGACTAGCAGACGTAAAGCAGACGACGTTAACTGCGCCAACCGGCCAACGCCGTTAAAGAGTGAGAAGTCTCGCTGCACACGGAATGAGGGAAAAAGTATTTCGGAGGGAACTTGCGGACACTAACACGCTCACTCTCCGTTCTTAGCAAACAAACCTCGGCGCCTCGGGACACCTCGCCAGTGAGTCCTTTGACTTCCCTCCTTGATGCGCGTCGGCTAGTTGTTAGACAAAAGCAACGTACCGCTCGAGTTATTTCGTCTGCCCTCTCTGAATGGCGAAGTCGAGCTCGCTTGACTTCTGAAAGTCGCAGGAAAGGTAAGACAGACGCAGACGACGTTGCAAAGGAGCAGACGACGCTCAGATAGGGGGTCGCGATCAGCCAATCAGGGCTCGGCGTTCTGACGTCACCGCTACTTCCTTTTTCATGCGCAGAATACGAAAATGAGCCCACTTGCGAGGCGTATACAAGCCTTCACAAGCCCCTCTATACTTGCGCGCCATCTATCCCCGTGCGAGTGAAGCGCGCTCGGTGCGCCGAACATAATGTGGTCGCCGCGCGAGACAGAGAGTCATCACCTAAATGTATTTCTTCCACCGTGACCACGACCTGCTTTATGGGGGCGACCAGGTCTCCCGTTGCACCGCGATGGCGCCACATTTGCTTTTGCTTATTTCGTTTTTCGCTAGTTCGCTGAGCCGCCACCGTGTCCTCTGGTGCTGTAGCTTAACATACTAGCACACGCTTTCGCGTTTTTGTCTGCGTGTGTCCGCTCCACGACCGCCGGCGTTTTTCTGGATAGTCGGCCGTATTTTAAGGACTGTTCTAATCGTTATTGCGATCGTACGTTCGGTAAGGAGCTACAAGTTGATCTAGATCGCATTCTTCCTTGGTCCAAAGATAACAAACTTCCCCTAAGCTTAAACCAAATGCGCTACTATGCACATCACTGCCTCGCGCCAACCTTCGACCCCTCCAACTCTTCTTCTGAACCGAGTGGAGATTCTAAGAACAACACATATTCACCTCCTAGGTGTCATCATCGACCAGCATTTTGATTTCCATCGCTATGTCCAAAACAGCGTGTCCGGGAAAAGGTTACTCTTTGACTTCGTCATTCGGTCCACAAGAAGAGCCATTCCCGATGTGCCCAGATTGCTGTTCACAGCACTTGTGTTGCCCATCCTGGAATTTTGCTGCTCGGTATGAAA